TGTGTGGTGTGTGTGGGGTGTGTGTGGTGTGTGTGTGGTGTGTGTGGTGTGTGTGGTGTGTGTGGTGTGTGGTGTGTGTGTGGTGTGTGTGGTGTGTGTGTGGTGTGTGTGGTGTGTGTGTGTGTGTTGTGTGTGTTGTGTGTGTGTGGTGTGTGTGTGGTGTGTGTGTGTGTGTGTGTTGTGTGTGTGTTGTGTGTGTGTTGTGTGTGTTGTGTGTGTGTGTTGTGTGTGTGTTGTGTGTTGTGTTTGTGTTGTGTGTGTGTGTTGTTTGTGTTGTGTGTGGTGTGTGTGTGTGTGGTGTTGTGTGTTGTGTGTTGTGTGTTGTATGTTGTGTGTTGTGTGTTGTGTGTTGTGTGTTGTGTGTTGTGTGTGTTGTTGTCCTGGATTTGTTGTTGCCCATCTAAGGGTCTTTCCAGGGCGTCTGGCTGACTCGCGAGACCTCCTGGCCCGTCTTGAGCCACAGCAGGGATATCTTCGGGCCTCTGGGTCATTTCGAGGGCCGCCTAGGGGCCTCGTTGAGCCACCCTGGGCGATCTTGGCGGCGCCCAGATTCAAGGGAGGAAAAACCACCCGGACCGGACAATTGGCGTTTGCTAAACGGCCCTGGGCGTTTACCAAAAGCTTTGCCCCGTTGGATTCCTTCCTCGGGTGTGTTTACTGAACGGCTTCGCGTGTCGGGGTGATTCTTATGGGGAGGGGGACTTTTTGCCCTCTAAGTGGCGGCGCCCTGAACCTTCTGAGAGTGTAAGCGGGCCGATCTAGTTTAGCCGAGACCTAGTTTCACCGATTCTATTTTTCACGAGCGGGGAGTAAACTTTGAAGGCACGTTTGGACTGCGGGCCTTCCTGGGGCTCCCTGGGCCCCGGGCCGTCCACGACGGCCGCTCGGGAAGGCAGGGCCGCTCTCGGGGGGAAGGGGGCCCGAGAGGCCCGGGGCCCCGCGGGAGTCGGGAAGCTGTCGGCGCGTCGGAGGTTCGGTGGCGGCTCATGGGAGCCTCCCGTATCATCCTGTCGGCTCCTGCGAATCGACGCTGAATCGGCGCCAGATCATCGACTCCAGACGCTAGTCGACGCCAAAGACGAAGTAAGAGGGTGTACCAGACTCGCATGATTTGCAACGAACGTCGGAGGTGTTGAGGAGGACCCATATGGGGGGGAGCGTCCTTTGGCGCCACGGGCCGCCCTGGTAGACCAGCAGGGAGGAGTCTGGACTGGGGTAGGGGAGAGACGGGAGGGAAGGGACAGGACGAGGGAGCGAGAGAGAGAGAGAGAGATAGTAAACAAGAGAGAGAAGAGAGAGAAGAGAGAGGAGGAGGAGGAGGAGGAGGAGGAGGAGGAGGAGGAGGAGGAGGAGGAGAGAGGAGGAGGAGAAAGAGGAGGAGGAGGACGAAAAAGAGGAGGAGGAGGAGGAGGAGGAGGAGAAAGAGGAGGAGGAGGAGGACGAAAAAAGGAGGAGGAGGACGAAAAAGAGGAGAAGGAGGAGGAGGAGGAGGAGGAGGAGGAGGAGGAGGAGAGCGAGAGAGCGAGAGAGCGAGAGAGCGAGAGAGCGAGAGAGAGAGAGAGGAGAGATGGGGAGAGAAACCAGCAATACAGGCATGCTCCCAGCTTGGCGCTCCCAGGGGGGCCCCAGCGGATGTCATGTTCATGGCACTGTATTGCGAGGTGGAGCCTGTGAGTAATTTGGTCCAGCCTTGGATGTATGGGGTCCTGGCTCGCATCGTCGGGTGTGGCCTCTTCTGGATATGTGTGCTCGCCGTGCCGATGTTCGCGATGTCGCTGGACGGCTTCAAGTTCCACATCATGTCGGAGTTCTTCCCCGAGCGCGACATCCTCCTGAGGGAGCAGGCCAAGAAAAGGGTCCAGGCACCGCGCTGCGGGCTGCGAGACAGCATCGAGGACACCTGCGGCGGAAGGGCCGACCCCGTGGGCGCGGCCAGCGTGGAGCTTAGCGGTTTGGGAGAAACGGCAGGTTTTTTTCGCTCCTTTCCCCAAAAATTGAGATTGAGAGTGACAATGATAAAGAATGCTCGCCGAAACGGAACAACAACCTCAAGGTTTGAAGCCGCTAGAGCCGGGACCAGACAAACAAGCGGAGACGGGGCCAGAGGACAGGAGCCCACGCCAGAGCCAGGGGCAAACCAGTATAATGCAAAACGAGAGCGGGGGAAAGACGGCCTCGTCGTTTCCACGAACCACCAAGGCGCGGAGAACGCCGATGACATCGGCGACCCTGGCCCCACCTCGCAGCCCATTGCCGGGTCCAGCACCGTCCGCCCCTCCGGCGGCCCCCGCGCTGCCCGCGCCCACGCCGCGTCCTTCGACTTCTCGCACCCCGACGGCGCGCCGCGGGGCCACGAGTCCTTCGGGGATCGGCCCTGGACTTAGCTGCCCCGATGCGCCCGTTTTGAAACGCAGCACGCGCCGTGTTCGAACCGTCCGTGGCAGCACGCCGCGTGCTGGCTCGGCGCGTTTGCCCGCATGTTGGCGAACGTGTCGCGCCGGACCTGCGTTTTCGGTCCGTGTGTTGGGCTCCGCGTCAACGCGCTGCGGGTTGCGCGTTGCGCATCGGGGCAGCGGAGGCACTGGACCCTGAACGACACCTCCCTCGTGGACCGGCTGGAGCTGCGCAGGTTTTTGAAGAACGAAAGCGGCATAAGCATGATTTCTCGGAGGCCCGCACGGATCTCTTGGATTGGCATTGGGTTCTCCGCCCCCCCTGCAGGCGCCTCCAGCGCCGATCCGAGGAATGGACCTCCGAGAAATCGGGTGGATTCAGTCTCCTCCTCATCCTCCTCCTCCTCCTCCTCCTCCTCCTTATTCAGTCTCCTCCTCCTCCTTCTACTCCTTCTGTTTGTGCCATATTTTCTTTGTTCCTCCAGGTCCGGCACGGTCCTGCTAGAGGCGGAGCTCCCGCGGGAGCCGTCGGGCCTGAGCATGAGCGCGTCGAGGACGGCGAGGGCGAGGCTGCAGGACAGCGATGACAGCGACGAGGAGGCCTCGCGCAGCGCGGGCTCTGACCACGGGGGCCCGCGGCTGGAGAGGAGGGAACAAACAATGACATAAGCACAAATTCGGATGCAACTCCTGGGAGGTCAAATTCTGATCTTGCCCTGGTCTGAAATCCGGCTTAATCTGGATGAATCCCGCTTAGTCCGGCTTAATCTCGCTTCGTCCCGTTCAATCCGGCTTAATTCCAGTTGATCCGAGGCCCACTCTGGCGTAACAGCCCCCACCATGGGGCTTAATCTTCCTTACTCCTTCCGACGAAGACCTCCCAGTAGTTGCATCCTTACATAAAAACTCGGGGGTCCGCGCGGATTTCTCGGATCGGCGCTGGAGACCCTTGGCGGCGCCGCCCCTGGCGCGCGCCGCGCGCCAAGGAGGGGGGGTCCGACGCCGATCCGAGAAGTCCGCGCGGACCTCCGAGTTTTTATGCTTATGTCATCGCTTGTTTCCCTAGGAGAATCGGCCGCGCGACTCGGCCCTTGCGCAGCAGAGGCTGCCGGGCTTTCAGTTCCAGATCACGTGGGGGTCGGCCGTCATGGCGTCGTTTATGTGCTGGCCTGCGTCCCGCCGCCGTGCCTCTGTGGAAGAAGAAACAAGGCCACATAGACATAAACTTTTGGCGCTCCGCGCGGATTTCTTGGATCCGCGCTGGGCCCCCCTGGCGGCGCCTCCGGCGCCGCCCCTGGTGCGCTCCGCGCGGAGCGCCAAAAATTCATGTTTATGTGGCGTTGTTTCTTCTTCTAGTCCCGCCGCCGTGCCTGTGGGGTGTTGTGGGTCAGAGGCCTCTCTCGGGAGACCCTCGTGGCCTGCTCTGGCGCTCGCGGCGCCGAAAAGGAACCATGCGGGAGGCGCCAGGGGAGCCCCGCCGGAGGCACGCCTGGAACCTGGGAAGATTTGAGGATTCGGGGTCTGGGCCCCTTCCCATTCGGCCACGCGCAGAGGGGGGTGGGAGAGGGGGGAGGGCTTCATAGAAGCACCCCTGCTTCTTAGAAGGCGCGGGCCTTCTAAGAAGCAGCCTCCTTCTAAGAAGCCATCCCCCCTCCCTCCACCCTCTTGGGCGCGCCGCCAACATACGCAATCCTGAGGACTTGGGGCTGCAAGGGGCCCGAGGGCACTCCAGCTCGTGCCTCGCCGCACGGTGGCGGATCGTGGGGCTGTCCTTGCTGACATTCGGCGCCATCGTCTGCGCTAGCTCGGCCAGCGTCAGCGAGCTGCGCATCAACTACTCTGGCAAGGTGAAGTCCATGCTCGGCACGCGGGCGGACATGCTGTACGACGAGCCGTGCGACGGGCTCTGCACGTTCAACGTGAGCGTGCACCAGGATCTGGAGCCGCCCATTGCGGTCATGTACTACTTGTCCCCATTCTACCAGAACTACCCCAGCTACATCCTGTCAGGCCAGGAGACCCGAGGCGTGTGGGAGGAGCTGGTGGGTCAGACGCTCAGCGAGGCCGAGCGAGAAAGCGCCTGCCCAGACCCCACCCGCGCGACCGAGTCGGGAGACGAGATCTACCCGTGCGGCACTGCGGCCACGAGCCTCTTCAACGACACCCTGGAGATTCTGAGCGTGACGAGCGGCACCACCCCCGAGATCGACAGCGCAGGCGTCGCGTGGCCCTCGGACGTGCGGAGGTTCGACAACCCGCCCGACTACCCGTCCGCTTCCGGCCGCTCGTGGCTCTACCAGCGCTACCCGGAGATCGTGACGGAGGCCGCCGGAGCGAAGAGCGAGCGCTTCGTGTCTTGGATGCGGCCCCAGTCCATGTCCTTCGTGTGCAAGCCGTACGGGTACCTGCACACGCCCCTCCGCGCGGGGGACGTGCTGACGCTGCAGATCCACTCCACCTTCCCCATGGCCGCGCCCGATGCCTCCAAGCAGTTCGTCCTCACGACAACGACGTCGCTGGGCGGGCGGAGCAGCGGCTTCGGCGTCTTCCTGCTGTCAGGCGGGGTCATCTGCTGGCTGATGTCGCTGGCGGCGCTCTCCGTGCAGGTCGGCGGCGACAGCCGAACCCTGCCCCCGCCGATCAGCGATTCAGGCAACTCGATGGTCGGGGGCGGGGGTCGGGCTCGGAGTTCGTCGAGGACGTGGCGAAGTCCGAACCCTACCCTCGCCTCCCACGGATTCGGGAGAATCGGTGCTTGGCGGGGGTCCTGGAGAAGAAGGAGCATGACAATGATGATGATGTTGCTGCTGCTGATGATGAAGATAATGCTGATGCTGATGCTGCTGCTGGTGATAATGATGATTACGACGATGATGACGATGATGATGATGATGATGATGATGATGATGATGATGATGATGATGCTGATGCTGATGCTGATGCTGATGCTGATGCTGATGCTGATGACGATGACGATGACGATGAGGAGGATGATGATGATGCTGATGATGATGATGGTGATGATGATGATGATGATGATGATGATGCAAATTATGGAAAGGATGATGGCGAACATGGTTATGATGATGAGGATGATGCTGATGATGATGGTGTTTGTGATGATGGTGATGGTGATGGTAAGGGTGATGATGATGATGATGATGACTTTGGCGGTGGTGATGATGATGCTGATGCTGGTGTTGATGATGGTGATGCTGATGATGATGCTGTTGCTGTTGATGATGATACTGATGCTGATGCTGATGCTGATGATAATGGGGATGATGATGAGGATGATGATGCTGAGGATGAAGATGAGGATGATGGAGCAGGAGGCTGCTGCTGCTGCTGATGCTGGTCACGATGATGATGCTGATGTTGATGCTGATGTTGCTGATGATGATGCGGATGATGATGATTATGATGATGCTGATAATGAGGATGAGGATGAGGATGGTGATGATGATGACGATGACGATGATGATGATGATGATGATGATGATGATGATGATGATGATGATGATGATGATGATGCTGATGCTGATGATGCTGATGCTGATGCTGATGCTGATGCTGATGATGATGCTGATGCTGATGACGATGACGATGACGATGACGATGATGAGGAGGATGATGATGATGGTGATGATGATGATGATGGTGATGATGATGATGATGCAAATTATGGAAAGGATGATGGCGAACATGGTTATGATGATGAGGATGATGCTGATGATGATGGTGTTTGTGATGATGGTGATGGTGATGGTAAGGGTGATGATGGTGATGATGATGATGCTGATGATGATGATGATGCTGATGATGATGATGATGATGACTGTGGCGGTGGTGATGATGATGCTGATGCTGGTGTTGATGATGGTGATGCTGATGATGATGCTGTTGCTGTTGATGATGATACTGATGCTGATGCTGATGCTGATGATAATGGGGATGATGATGAGGATGATGATGCTGAGGATGAAGATGAGGATGATGGAGCAGGAGGCTGCTGCTGCTGCTGCTGATGCTGGTCACGATGATGATGCTGATGTTGCTGATGATGGTGCGGATGATGATGATTATGATGATGCTGGTAATGAGGATGAGGATGAGGATGGTGATGATGATGAGGATGAGGAGGAGCAGGATGAGGATGAGGATGACGATTAGTATGATTATTATGATGACGACGACGACGACGATGATGATGATGATGACGAGGAGGCGGAGGAGGAGGAGGAATGATAAGGGGAGGAGGAGGAGGAGGAGGAGGAGGAAGAGG